TGGCGAAATTGCTTCAACTTTTGATCACCCAGAACTAGTAAAGCTAGGAAGCTGCAAGCTAATTGAAGAGGTCATGATTGGTGAAGATAAACTTATTCATTTCTCTGGAGTTGCTATGGGTAAGGTTGATTGAGCAATCCTATTCTCCAGTTATTCGTATCCTACTAAATGTTGGACACAAGAATCCTTATCCAATTATTTATAAATTATTAGCATTACTTGTACTGTGCAGTGACCAGACCAAAATAGGGGAAAGCAGGAGAATGTAAAAGTAATAGCTGACCATATGTGAAGAGACCCCATGAATTCACATTGATGATCCATACGTTATAACATGCATGTTGTATTTCTGATCTAGTAGGTATAGTAGAGTTGGTAATTAGGTATCCGCTAATAATCTAAGACTCTTTAAATTTAAATTTACACGTTTTTCACTTTTTTGATTCTTAGGTGAAGCTTGCACCATAGTCTTACGTGGTGCAACACAGCAAATCATAGATGAGGCTGAAAGATCACTGCATGATGCACTTTGTGTTCTTGCCCAGACAGTCAAAGATACTAGAACTGTGTATGGTGGAGGTGAGTATTCAAACTTTGAAATCTACATTTTCTTCAATGCAAAGATTATGTATTTATTTACATTGGCTAAGATTTGGTTTTTCAAATTTTCAGGCTGTTCAGAGATGTTAATGGCTAATGCAGTGTGGGAGCTTGCAAAAAGAACCCCTGGCAAAGAATCATTAGCAATTGAGTCTTTTGCTAAGGCTCTAAGTACGGTAAGCTCCTCTCCCGTTAATTGTATTAGAAGTAAATATATAAAGCTAAACAATATGGAAAAAACCAGCAGCTAGCCTTTTGAGTGTTTTAACTCTTGGGAGAAATCCTTATGCATTTTTATGGGATAAGTTACTTGTTCCATGAGTCTTGAAAAAAAGATACTGATTAATATTCTGAACTATTTCTCTTCGAGGTAGCCATCTAAATAATATACAGCATACAATGTAAAAGGCCCAATTAAAAGAAATAGGTCTGGAAATGGAATAATGCTGTAATTGACCCTGTCCCCCAGTTAGCATTCTAGCTGTAATTGAAAATACTTAAATGTGAATGAATATTATTGAGATTTGTTGCATGGTATCTTATGTTTGACTTAGCTTTTGTTCCTTATTTGGTACTGATCTCAAATAGTTCTTTAATAAAAGCCTATCTTTGTAGCTCCCAAATATCATAGCTGAAAATGCTGGGTATGATAGTGCGGATTTGGTTTCCCAACTTCGAGCTGCCCACAGTGAAGGGAAGAATACCTATGGACTTGGTAAGTTCATGTTTTTAATAAAATCTTAGTGCATGAGTGGGAAAAAAACCCAGTAGGTATCTGCTGATAAACTGCAGTTTTTACAAAATTGATAAAATATTCTTTCTCTGTCTCCCCTCACTTAGAACTTTTATTGGAAAATATTGTGAGTTCAGTTCTAATATTAATTGCAAGCACAACCTGAGTTTCTTCTATGTGTTTTGAACTTTGGCTTCATATAGGCCTAGAAAATGTGGCCATGCCTAAACAAAATATGGAAATTTAGTATAAAGCTTCAAATATCTCTGATAAAATCTCAGTCCTGGGCTGATTGTGTACTCAGAAACACTCCTCAGATATAAATGGACATCTGAGCTCTTCCTCTCCAGGTCACCAACTAATCTAATCCACAAGTTTATAATATGGATGACTTTAATAAACAATAGTTTGTAGTTGAAAACTGCAACAGAAACAAAAATGAAAACGTCAATAATTTCCTGTAATCTCTTGAAGATATGAAAGAAGCTGCTATTGCAGACATGGCAAGTCTAGGAGTCGTTGAAAGCTTTCAAGTGAAACGTCAGGTTTTGTTAAGTGCTGCTGAAGCAGCAGAAGTCATTCTCCGTGTTGATGACATCATCAAGGCGGCACCAAGGTAAAATGTAACTTTTCAGCACTTGTGAGGGAATGAGCTAATTGAATATCAAATATTTTGCAATGGGTGGACAGGATTTTGAGCATAATGTTTTTTTTTTCCTAATTACTATCTTGATCTCAGGCAACAGGAATAGGCAGAGATATCACCAGGGATAGGCAGAAATCACCATAGGTGGAAATCATTGACTTTTGGGAAGAGTTCAAGCGACATAGTTGGATTAATCTCTGTGGAGACTCAATATATAGTTGATTGTGGTTTAAAAAGGCCAAAAATTACTCTCATTTGGTAATATACAGTTGGAAGAGATGCATGAATGGGACATCTATATTTTTAATTATCTACCCCTGTTTTTCAGTTTAAATATTGCACAAATAGCTTTAGTATTTATTTTATGATTCACTGTTACTAGGTTATATGAGCTAAAGCTACTTAATTAAATCTTAAATTGAGATTTACCATTTATAATTAATTGGTGGTACAGTGGTTAAAATGCAGTTTCGCAGTCAAACTCTGCCCGCACCCTAGAATTCAATCCTGACGAGTGTCAAGATTAACTCAACTTTCCATTCTTCTGAGGTCTGTAAAATGAGACCCAGATTGTTGGGGCAATATATTGACATAAACTGCCCAGAGAGTGCTGTAAAGCACTATGGGGTGATATATAAATCTAAGTGCTATTGCTATTGCTATTTTGAATAGAGAAATACTTTTCTGTCCTGTGGCATTTTCTTATACTCAGTTCTGCTTCTTTCAGGAAACGAGTCCCAGATCGGTATCCTTGTTGAGCATTCTGCATTCAGAAAGAACATTCAAACCAGACATTTTCAGACTGGGTGTACTTCTAACAGATTACAGAAGGATTGGCACATTTAGCACTGGCATATAAGTGTTTTGGTTTAACTTATATTGTTTTTTTAAAAACACTTAATTCATTGTACAACATCTGTACTCCTTCACTGTTCCTTTTGTGTAGTACTCACAATAAACATTTCAAATAGAAATGGGTTTAATCTTTTAGTTTCTTATCATTATTCCACTAAATGTGCACTTAAACTTGTAAAAGTGAAAGAGCAGGTTACTTAAAACATTTGTAGATGGCAGTTTGATCTTAAAAGCAGAGTATCATTTTAACCTTAAAAATTGAATCTTGTGTTTAGTTTATTCCTCAGTTTCCATCAGCCTCAACCAATGTGGCCAGTAATAAGGAATTAGGGAAGTTACAATTGAACACTTCAGGAAAGTATCAGATTAGTTGTTCTTACATTAATAAATATAAGATATTGTAGTAGATTTTCTTTATGTAGTAGCAAGTGCAAAGTAATTTGGTTCTTAAGTACTGTATATACTCTCAGATAAGCAAAAAAAATTAGGTTCCAAAATGCATTGCCAAATTGGGTTCTGCTTACCCACCACTTTTTAAAATATATTCTGTATATATGTAACACTGTGGATAAACAGACTTCTGAATTTTGAAAGAAAAGAGAAAAATAGCTGATTGGACATACCTTTTTGTATCCTGCTATATATAGTTTCTAAGCTTTGGGAAAGAAACTCCTTAATTTTGGAACCTTGACTTAGTAACTTTTAAATGTTTGGTAAATTTATGACTAATAGTAGTTAAGAGCTACATCCCCAGAAGGCCATAGCCCCATCTGATGCAGATTTTTAAAATCAAAGGGAGTGAAATGAGTTAGAAATAAATGATAACTAATTCATTGAATATATAGATGTCTTCCATTAGATTTCCCAAAACAAAGTAGCATTTTGTGTCAGTTGAACCATCTAGGTCGGGTCTGCAACCTTAAATACTCAAGAGCCACTTGGACCCGTTTCCCACAAAAGGAAACACCAGGAGCCACAAAACCTGGGTGGACGTGGCCAGCTTGTCATCAGTCACGTGACCCACTCAGCCACGCCCACCCAGCCAGTCATTAGGGCAGAGAACGGGAGCCACAAAACCCTTTTGACATCTCCATCTCTGTCTCTCTCTTTCCCTCTCTCTGTCTCTCTCTTTGTGTCTATGTCTCTCCCCCTCTCCCTCTATCTCTCCCTCTCTATGTCTCTCCCTCCCTCTCTATCTCCCCCGTCTCTGTATCTCTCTCCCAATCTCTATCTCTCTCCCCCCTCTGTGTCTCTCTCCCTCTCTCCTTCTGTCCTTCCTCTCTGTGTATCTCTCCACCTTTTCCTATCTCCCTCTCCCCTTCTCTCTATCTCTCGGTCTCTGTCTATGTCTCTCTCCCTCTCTATCTCTCCCCCCTCTATCACTCCAAAACAAAACAAAAAAACCAAACCCTCGCCTGTTTCTGGAAATGGTTCAACAGGGAACACACACATGAGAGAGAGAGGGGGAGATGAGAGGAAGAAAGGGCCTTTTGGCTAAGATCAAGTGAAAAAAATGCCAAATCATTTTTTCTCCAGATTTAATAATTCTTAAGAACATTTTAGGATCTGATTGAAATATCTTATTTAAATAGCAGCTGGTTTGAAATGTTGCTTATTTATATTAACCAATAATTATAAACAGGATAAAAACTTTCAAAATGTTTTCAGGATGCTTCTAGATCATGGGTCCCCAAACTTGGCAACTGGCTGGAGAATCCTGGGAATTTAAATCCACAAGTTGCCAAGTTTCGAGACCTCTGTTTAATCTAGACAATGCCTTATTATTAAGAATCCAGTGCTATAATTTATTGGCAATAAATGCAATAAATTTATCCAACATCTGTTTAAATAAAAAAAATGGCTATCCTGACATGATTCATCTGTGCATTGCTTTAGCCTTCCATTTTGATTCTTGGGAAAAGAAGCACTTACATAACATTACAGCTGTTCTGTACCATCTCTGTTCTGATTTTTTTCCAACTATGCATTTGCTACAAGTATTCACATAGCTACTGTGCATGTGCAGGCATACAGACACATACATACCACTGGAACAAGAGATATTCTGCCAATGTCACTTTCATGCAAGTCTGCAAAAGCAAAAGCCAGTCCAAGCATCCTGTTGAACTTTTCCAAGAGGTAGTGTAGGCACTAATAATTCTTCAGTCTTTGGTGGTTGAGGAATGTTCTTGTGCTTTAATTGGACACTTTGCAGGAGAGAGGGGGAGGGGGAGGCAGCAGGGAGTTGATGTCTTCTATTCCTTTGTCCTTGTCCATCCCAGATCGCTTCCTAGGCTCGGGGCTCTCCTCTGACCACCTCCCAACTCTGTGTACCCCCTTAGCCACCTTGGGTGCATTTCTACAGGGGTTGTGGTCATAGATCACCAATTTCAAACCATTCAGGTGGACGAGACTGGGGAAATCATGAATGGTATTGTAGTCCACATCAATCACTTCCAGGAAAGGCATGTGCAAAAGCACTGGTGGGAAATCGGTCAGTAAGTTGCTGGAGAGCCAGATCGTACGCAGTTCCTTCAGATACAGAAGCTCCCCAGGCAGAGAACGCAGTGCATTGGATCCAGCATGCAGCGTCTTGAGGTGCTTCAGTTCACACACCACATTGGGCAGGTGGTACAGGCGGTTGGATTCAATCCATAAAGTCTTGAGGTTTTGGAGCTGATACATCTCGGCAGGTAGGTCTCCCAGTTTGTTATTGCCCAGATAAAGGATACACAGCTGTTTCAAGGTGCACACCACTTGGGGTAGTGTGTGGAAGTTGTTGAAATCCAGTGCCAGGATCTGAAGGTTCTGTAACTGTTCTAACTCAGGGGGCAGATGATTCAGGTTGTTGTTGCTCAAATACAGCTTGACCAGCTCACTGAAAGAGCAAACACACACAGGAAACCGTCTCACTTGCCTGCCACTCAGATCCAACATCTTATCAATTGGCATCTCTTCAAGGTCTCCTAGGATGTATTTCTGGCACTCGTCAAATGGGAGAAAGGCTATAATCGCTCTTAATGTGTTGCCCATTCTTCAAAGTTGCAATGGCTTTTAGAGTCAGATGAATATTCCCTGTAGATGAGTTTTAGTCTGCTCCTCTGGCATTTCCTCTTCCCAGTAAAATAGAGGCATGGTCTACATGGCAACAATCATGATTTTCAAGAGCCCTGAAATATTTCTGATAAGCAAATGAGTGTCTGCTGATGAGAACTACAGACATTCCTGTGGAGCAGCTCTAATAGAAAAGGGCAGTAAAACTATCTCAGGGAAGTTCTTGTTGATCTCAAATGTTTTTGGAAATGCTTCTGAGTTCCCTCTTTAGGATGTTTCATTTTGAGGTTTGTGTCCCATGACTTAATGACCACATGATCAATACTTTCAGCAACTTATCCATTCATATGTATGGGTTCAGACATGTGTTAAGTCGTGACATGACTTCCTGATTTTGGTTTAGCAAGTGATACGAATCTGTGTTTATGGCAGGGTGAACAAGGCATTGAATATCAGCCTCAGTAGCAGAAAAATTAGGTATGGCCTTAATTTCCCCTTCATTTCATATGATCCTAATTCAGATCTGGGTCCCCACCGGCAGACTTTTATTTAAAAAGCATGGAATGAGAAATGTTTTAAAGCATCTGATATGAAATGCAATGGATTAGTGCAGTTTGCATAAACACAGTTAGTTACACATTCTCTAAGCCAGAAACGTGGCTTTTTGTTGCAAAACACAAATTGCCATATTTATTAAATAATTTAACAAGTGTGACAATTTGTGTTTTATTCCATTTCTTTAGTATTTTTTGGGATGTGTCAAAATATAAAATTTAGGTGGGAAGGTCTAGCTTACCATTTAACCATTAATCTGTTTTATCAACATAGATCATTATGACCTTAAGCTATTGCATCTTGTGACCATTGACATAGCCAAAGTCTCAACAGAGAGATAATGAAATACAATATTGCAGATAATGAGTTTTGTTGTGTGGGGAGAGGGTGGGAACCGATTCATATATTTGTTCTGCCTCTGAAAGATGGAAGCTTTTAAGGAAAAAAAAAAAAGCTTTTAGGGCTCAATGTATGGTTTTTCCCTTTGCCAATATTTCATCCTCCAATAAACTTGTCAGAAGATTACTATCCAATGTTAGTGACTGGATATGGTTTGAATCCTGCTTTCCTCAATTTTAGTTCACTCTGACCATGAGATTACACTGATTCTGTAGTAAGACAACATCAAATTAGTTTCCTTTCTTGACTCATTTTGAGAGCCAGTTTGGTGTAGTGATTAAGTCATCAGGCGAGAAACCAGAATACCATGAGTTCTAGTCCTGATTTATGCAAAAAGCCAGAGTCACTCTCTCAGCCCTAGGAAGGAGGCCATAGCAAATCACCTCTGAAGAACCTCACCAAGAAAATCACACGGACTTGTCTGGGCAGTTTCTGAGAATCAGACGAATTGAAGAGAAGAGGGAAACATAAACCATTTAGCTATATGATATTTCAAATACAACATTTAATCAATGGAATGATTTGCCTCCAGAAGTTGTGGATGCTCCACACTGGAAATTTTAAATAAGAGATTACACAACCATTTGTCTGAAACGGGGAAGGGTCTCCTGCTTGAGCAGGGGGTTGGACTAGAAGACCTCCAAGGTCCCTTCCAACTCTTCCAATTATAAGAGAATAACATTCTCTTATAATTCATAAATGCAATATATTTCTCCAGAAAATAACTCACAGGTGCCCAACCTCTTAAAAGAACTTGGTCAATAGCTGTGAAGGATGCTCCAGAAAAAACAACAACCTTCCTTCAGATGTCTATGGAGATTCTCAGTCATCCAGGTCATTGTTGTCCCAAAGATGCTTTTTCTTTTTTTTCTTTTTTTATTAATTTTTATTCTAGAAAAAAACATTTATTTGACATACATTTAAAAGACAAATCAACACACACACACACACACACACACATATACATATATATACATTTTACAGCATATATTGAGCAATGGTTAAAAAAATTTTCTTTATCATTGACGTGATCTGCCTTGTTACAATAACTCCTTCGTTCTTTTAATGTTTTAATTTCTCTATATAGTTTGTGATTAAATGCACTTCTACTATCTTTTCCATAACTTATCCAAATATCAAATATTACCTTTTGTTTCACACCAAATGTTCCATATTTCATAATAGTCACTATCTTGTTTATTTTTTAACAGTTTGGTTAGGCTATCCATCTCAGCACATTCATGTATTTTTTAAATTACCATATCCTCTGAAGGAATGGAAGACAGTTTCCAGTTTTGTGCATAGGTTATTCTGGCCGCAGTTATGATATGCAAAATTAAATATTGATATTTTTTCTCCATGTTTGAATCTATCATACTTAGCAGAAAGGTTTAGGGTTCAAGTTTTAAATTTTGTTTTGTTATATTTAAAATCCAATTTCTAATATTTCTCCAAAATTTCTGAGCACATGGGCAAGTCCACCACATGTGAAAATATGTTCCTTGTGCATAGTTACATTTCCAACAATTGGCTGGTAGGTTGGGGAACATCTTAGCCAGTCTCGCAGGAGGTACGTGCCAGCGATGAACCATTTTATATAAGTTTTCTTTATACGAGACTGACATGGTTAATTTGTAATTTGTTTGCCAAATGTGTTTCCACTTATCTAATTCAATACTATGACCCACGTTTTTAGCCCAAATTATCATAGATTCTGTAACTGTTTCTTCTTTTAATTTGTAGTCCAAAAGATATTTATGTTTTACTAATTGTTTTCTTTTCCTCTCCTAGCCATATTTTATCTAATTCTTGTGGGTTTGTATTTGTGCAAAGGGCCACCATGCTATCTCCCCAAAGGTGCTTTTTCAAGGGGTAACTGGACGTATAGAAAGTCCAGTTGCCTCTTGAAAAAGCACCTTTGGGACCTTCCTTCAGATGTTTGGTCACAAGTGATTCATACTCACTTAGACTTGGAGAAAAGGCTTTCAGTGACCTGTATGCAATTAGGCAGCAACTATTGTTAAACTAATTTGTGTCAAAAAATGTGCTGATCTATTATCTATTAGAATAGAATAGAATAGAATAGAATAGAATAGAATAGAATAGAATAGAATAGCTTTATTGGTCAAGTATAATTGGACACACAAGGAATTTGTGTCCAGTGCATAAGCTCTCAATGTACATACAAATAAAGTGATAAGTCATAGATCATAAACCATAAGATACACTCATAAATCATAAGATAAAACAACGATTGATAAATCATAATAGTTCAGTGATCTACCAGTAGATCCCATTTTGGGTCTGCCCACCCCTATCAGGTTATAATATTTACATAAAACAACTGTGCTTTTACAGCATATTGCAGATGTCCTGCCAAACAGCTATTGACTCATCAATAGTTGATTGTGTTCCAGTGAACCACCCTGACACATAAAAGAGCAAATGCTCCAAGAAATCAGCTGCATTTTCATTTTCAATACACCGAAGGCATGAAGGTTCTCTTAATAACTCTGGTTTGTATTCCGTTCATGACTGCTCTGATAAGGTAAGAAAGAATTTCAGAGCATTCATATTTGTGTGTATATGCAGCAATATGAACAAAATTTATCTGTTTTCCTTCAAAGCTTCCTTAGAAAACTTTATGGTGTTTAAATGATGTCAGAATCTATTAGGGAATGATGCTACTATAGTTTTCACTTCTGGCAATACCAAAATGAATCACATGAATCCAATTTTTAAAATTCCTTTTTTTACAAGGCCAGAATATTTAATCACTAAACCTAATTTATCTGCTATGGAAGTAGGTGATCCATGTAGATATCTCCTACTGAGTCTCTTAGATGTTAGGAATATAACAAATCTTTATTGCAAATAAAATATTAGGAAAAAACAAAGAAAATAGAAAAAGAAAGAAAGAAGAAAAAAAGATGGTAGTACAAAGAAGCAGCATCTGATTTTTTTGTGTGTGTGTGTGGAGGGGGGCTGGTTATAAACGCATTTATATTTTACTCACTCTTTCTAAAGTTTCATCATAATTTTCTTCTTCCCCAAACTATCCTGTTGTTTCCCCCCCCCCCCCACTTTCTGGAATTAATGTTTTAGAGCAGGGGTGTCCAACCTTGGCAACTTTAAGACTTGTGGACTTCAACTCTCAGAGCTTTGCTGGCTGAGGAACTCTGGGAGTTGAAGTCCACAAGTCTTAAAGTTGCCAAGGTTGGACACCCCTGTTTTAGAGGCTGAAGGAGGGTCCATTTGGATAGACCAACAGTGAGTCTCCCTCAGCTCCAGATAGTGTTGCTACGAAGGCTAAGACACACTTCTAAAGCCTGAGGTCTTCCAGGTTGAACAGACAGAGAGTGCCCCATACTGCATTCCAGACCATCATCTCCTAGATGGATTGCATGTCACAGGGAGCGTACTTATTATATGTCTGTGGCCACCTTTTCTAATGGCAAGGTCTAAATAGTTCATGTCCAGTGAGTATGTCCAATTAAACCAAAGAGATAAAGCCTACCCATAGTGTACATTGATAATGCCATTGTATCCGTTCACTGAGCCTCGAAGCAGGAAAACAGTGCAAATCCTGACATTTGGTAAATGGCAGTGTCAACATTCAAATCTATATTTATATTGTTCAATCAGGATTCCACTAGTTCAGTTTAATTCTATCCAAACTGTACTTCGAAAAGGAGGACAACTGGAGCAATTTTGGAGGAATAATGTGCCTGAAAGTTTTGCTCGGAGGTACCACCCTTGCTTTCCATCTGATATTTTTTTGTCCATGAGAACTGCAAAAGAAAAGCTTCATGATTACATGAATGTGAGTATGTTTGTAGAAAATAGAATGAAAAGAACAGCCTGAGACAGCTCTGGGTCAACCAGTAAGCAAAATAAGCATAGACCTAGGGCACCAGAGGGAAGGAAGGCCCACAGAGTTTTCCCCTTTAGTTGTTGTGCTCTGAACTTAACTTTAGTCCATTTTTTGTAACTGTCATTATCTATCATGCTGCACTTGAATCTGA